GGAGATTTTTAAAATTAAGCTCTCTGCCAACACTTCAGGATGTGCTCACTCACTTTGCATAAGTCCTTTTAGCTCAGGTTAGGTTTATCTTAGGTCTCAATCGCAGATCTGCTACGATGTCTCCTCCTGCTGCCACGGACAACTCTGGATTTTTCCATTCTTCATGTGTTCTCTGATGGTGATCAGCTTCCTGCTCTTGCATCACCACACAGTCACCTTATGACAGTTCCCTCTTTACAGCAGAGACCTGTTCTGTTGTGAACTGCTTTAGTCCTACTGGACTCTTCTCTCTTGTATAGTGCCCCAAAGCAAAATCTGGGCAAAAGCCCCTGAAGAGCTGCAGAGAAGTGCTTCATTTTTCCTGCCTCTCAGGCAGGAAATTATTGTTAAATTATTGTACTTCTCTTGGTACAGCAAGAGTGTCTAAAATCAGCACAACACTGAAAGCTTATCCCTAGAGCAATTCATTTTTATTTTGGCAAGCTACTAGCATTTTGTTACCATTATCAAGATGATAAAAGAGGGCAGGAGATTTTGTTTTCTACATGTCCAGCCCTGCAGATTTCCACGAGGTTTCCGAAAGGCTGAACGAGCAGTAGTGCAGTGCCACAATTCAGGGTGTCACTGGCAGCAAAGCTAATGCCAGGCCAGGATGTCGACACCACCAACATGGCATTTGCAGAACAGATTCATGGCTCACATGGCATTAGTGCTGTCACAGGATTAGAGAAATATATGACTTCGAACTAATCTATTCCATAATTCTTTTAACACACATTTAATTGCAGCCCTTATCGAACTGCCAGCGTACATGACGTAACCTGGCATTGGYCTAGCTGACAAGAAGGTTCAGCTGTCTCTCTGATTGATCGCTGATGCTCCTACCTGTTGCATGGCCATCCAAAACTTGCGTTGCAGCAGTTCCAGCTTAATTTGCACACCCACCGCTATGAGAAGTAAAAGGGGAAGGATGAAAAGAGGGATGTGAGAGAGAAAGATAAACACAAGTTAGGAAAGGAGAGGTAAATATTTGCCCAACGTAATGGGATGGAATTGCAATTGCAACCTCTTTCCAAGTGTAAATGATGAGCACTGACAGCTGAGCACTGAGTCAGACTGTCAAGTGAGAGTCAGAGGTTTAACAAGGTAGGGGAAAAGGAGACGCTGACTGCTATGCTGAAGCACTGACACCTCCCACCCACTAAACACTGCACAGATACAAACAGATTAACAACAACAACAACAACAACAAAAGATACAAGGGAGCGAGCGTGAACTTTCATCTTTGTCAGCTGTAGCCTTGTCAGGCCAGAATGGTCTTTTACTTCACACCAGGCTCATCTGCTATGTAACATAGGCTAAAGCAGAAAAAAAAATAAGCCATTTTGAGGAAGGGATTTGAACGCCCACCCATCTCAAGAGGAGACCACAGTGATTTAGACATAGTCATTAAGGCGCTATGAAAGCAGAGAAATAACGTCTCTGGATTGAACTGCATAGATCAGAGCTGCTTAGCTACCTGATCCCAGCCCACTGCACATTCCTCCAAGCAGAAGTATGTGTGTTTTAATCAAGTGCATCCCAATTTCTTGGCTTAATCTCTGTTCCATTCCCAGCATCATGTCTCTGAAGTGAGGCATAACTCTATGCTAGAAAAAAATGTGCAGGGCCTCCCTGACAGAGCAACACAACTATCCTCTGGGTAGGTTGCTTACAAGCACATATAATAACCAAGGCAGATGTGCACATCCTAGCACTGTGACAGGGGAAAAGCAGGCCAACGAAAGAGAATGTGAAGTGAAATGAGGGAGAAAAGAAAGTAAGGAGAAGGAGACTCTGAGGCYCTTTTCAGAGCCAACAGTACCAGGCAGATACCTGTTTCTGGTTCTGTTTCTTCTGACTTAGCAGGAGCTGCATGGGGGGGCTAGAACCTCACTCAGGATCGTTCAGATCTGAAGCACACTATACACTATATGGATGCTTTCAAGTTAACAGCGTGATGCTCTAATKCAGCTGGGTACGAATGAGAAGCAGAGTATGCCATATTTTCTTGCAGCATAGACAGAAAACCTGGCAGCTGGTATCGGCTGGAATCACAGCCATGTTGCATCAGCTCTGCCTTTTATACCGGTGTCTGTGTCCCTCTTGTCACATTCCCACCGCTGGCTCATCTTACAAAATCCCATTCACAGGCATGTTTCTTAACCAGCTCTCCCCGTTGCAGAATGGTCTGACTGCCTGTAAGTGGGGTAAAGGGGTTATTTTGCACAGCTGCCTCAAAGGGCACAATCCAGACAAGATAAATGTTCACTGAGATCATCCATACCTATTAGAAAGCACATAAAGTGAGGAGAAAGGATGGGGCTGAGCTTAGCCCTGGAATAGGGTTACTGACTTCCGCAGACAGGCCCAGTCTCGCTTGCTGCCCCCATAGACCAATTTTTGCCAGATGCCAAATGGTGCCCCTGATGTGAGGCCACTGAGGTGCGGGAGGTCTGATTTGCTGTGTAGCTTTCAATAAATTCCTGGCTATCATTTAAAAGGATCTCTTTTTTCACAGCAGATCACACTGGTAGGATGGAGCATATCCTCAGACATGCAGATTTTGTAAGACATGAGATGTTGGTATGTAGAAAATTAACCTTGAAATGCAGAGACTTACAGAGTTGTTCGTGTTTTTATAAGCAGGGACATCTGTCCAGAAATAATTTCTCAAAGGGACCTAAGATGCCACCAAGGGGAACCACTACCCCATGCTCCTCCACTCAGGGGTGGATTGGCAGCTCCTGGCAGGAATGAGGAGAATGTGAATGTATTCAAGCGACGTGAGGGAGCCAGGAACAGCCTCCCGGTCACAGTAATGAATAGGTGCCTGGTGAGCACCTTCTGGCGAGCATAAGGAGAAAAGAGGAAAGCAACATCTCAGTTTAAGTAAAGGAAGATTCCACAGCTCAGAGAGGGAAGAAGCTAGAATAAACCCTCTGTGCTTGTTCCAAAGCATAGCTGAGAGATAATGAGCCCTTTTGCTCTGGGGGGAAAGAGCAGGCCGCAGGAGCAGAAAGATCCAAGGCCCGTGAAATTCTGAGTGGCCYTGCTGTGCAGCACAGCAACAAGCACGAGGCCCTTGGGGAGACCACAGCTAACAGTTTTACTCCTATTAATGCCCAGACAACCCGAGCGACAGGAGGACAATGATGCCGCGTACCCTGAGCTCCGCGACGCCGACRAGCCCTGGGACCTGTGCTCAGTGCCCATCCCGCAGGCCGACGTGGGACCTGCTGCATCCCGGCACGCTTGGCACCATCAACAGCTCTCCTGCCACCCGCTCGGGCCTCTGTGTGGCCTCTCCCGTAGCTCATCCCCTGCTTGGCTCCCTTTCGGCCTGCCTGCCCTGCCCTGCCTCATCTCCCTGAGTATCCATATTGTGGTTTTAGAAGGTGCTTGCCTCAGGAGTCAATGCTCTGGCCTACCACACCACAACAAGGCATAAGAAAGAGCCAGAACACAACCCAGTGCCTGCTTATYGAGATGGACCTCATCATCCAAAAACCTGTCTTCATGGTGGCTGATGTGAGTTTAAACAAAGACCACAACGCCAGAGAAAGGAGCAGAAGACCCCTGCCCTTCCTGTCTATCTTTATTCCCATTTCTTGAAACTGAAATATTTCGATTTTCCTCCTCAAGACAAAACAAGCCGCTTCATTCAGTCTAAGGAAAGTCCATTAGATTTTTTACTTAAMATAACTTCAAGGCAAATTAAAAATAACAAAAGCCCAAACCAAAGGCAGACAGCCTACAGTACTGCAGCTCGGAGAAGAGGCCGTTAAAGTGGATCAGCAAAGATACAAAAAATAGAAGAAATAATCCTTGCAAGCTTTAGCTCAGGAGCTCTAGCTCCTGATCGGGTCCCTGATTGGGGACCTCGGCACCCCCGCAGGCTGCCTCACATAGGGCAGGGGACGCCTCTGCTGCCGCGTGGATGTACCTGTGAGCAAAACCTCTGTGCTGGGCGTCCTCGCCACCTGTGCTCGGTGCGCTGCGCTCCAGCTCCAGGGGAGAGAGCCGCGGGTGCAAGAGCTCCTCTTGCTCCCGTTCCTTTCCTCACAGCTATTCCCCGCTCGCCCCTCGCGTTCCTCAAGTTTTCCCTGAATTGCCAAGGAAGACAATACCAAGACAAGCTCTGTTTGCGCTCCAAGTGTTACCCATTCTTGCTGTGCCAGGCACACTTTTTCCTGGCCACTGTGGGCTTCACCAAGTGCCTGTGTAACACACAGGGTAACACACAGTACCCTATGCCCCTCTGCCCCAGTGGGGCACTGACGGCTACTGGGGGCTCTTGGTTGCAAGCCCCTGGTGCCTCCCAGCTTCCTCCCCTTCCCGGCATCCCTGCACAAATGGGTCGGGCGGGCGGCTTGTCCCCTTCCCCTTGGCGTGCCTGTCTCTGCGGGTCTCTCCTCATCAGCCATGGCAGCGAGGGGGGCGGGAGGAGGAGGCACTTGGGCTCAGCCTCTCGCAACCTGTGCTAGCGGCTCAGCTCGCACCAGCCTGCCTGCCCCCGGCCCCGCGTCCCCGCACCCTCCGGGGCCCTTCCYGCCGCTCTCCTCTCCGGGAGGGTGACGGGAGCCGGGCGGGAGCGCGCGGAGAGGCACAGAGCGAGCGCTCTGTCGACATGGGCTGAGAGGCACCCAAACGCTGGGAGCTCCTTCCGCTGGCTGCCTGGGAGCAGAGCCCGCCTGCTCGGCGGGGCGATTCCCTCGCAGGGTGCGCGCGCTCCTCTGCGTGTGCTGCTGCCACCGCATATGCACCCCCAGCTGTCACTTCACGGCGCTCAGTCGCTCCCTCTCCCGCCTCTCTCTCTCTCCCCCTTTTTATTATTTACAGAGGATTACAGTCCCTTTCCCACGCTGCCACCTAACCGCGCTGCTTCCCTTCCCGCTGCGCGGGGCGACCGGCTGGTGAGCGYGCGAGGAGACCAGGGCTCCTGCCAACAGGGGTTCAGCGAGAACTCACCAGGCAACGGAGGGAGTTTCTGCAGGATTTGCTTTGGGAATTGCACGGGGTGCGCTGGAAGAGCTGGCTCACAGGAGGGTCCGTCCTAGCCTGGGCACAGTAAGTARAGGCTCTCTTGTCCCTATATCCTCTCGGCTACGTGAGATCTTTCGGTGGGGCTGCCCCCAAAGAAGCAGCTTCCTCGGGGAGGAGACTGGCATGCAGGGACAGCACTGGCTGCGACTCCATGCAGCGGAGAAATCTCACTTGTATGAGGCTGAAGGGCAGCAATTTTCCTGATTAGGCAGAGGGACAACTCGGCCGCGGAGGCTGGTGGTACTGGTTTGAGTCCAGTTTAAGTATGGGGAGCTGGAAGTGACTTCCCCAGCTGTGAATGGCACCAGCACCCTTATCTATGGGATGGACAGCTCAAGCGCAGCTTGGAGGCTAAGCACTTGGTGTGGTGGGGATTATCTGCTGGGCAGTTCCTGGTGACCCTGGCTCCTGTCCCCTCCTCATCACAGTGGAGTGGGTCCAACACACCAGGTTGTCACCAACTGGAGGTGGCTTTGCTGGGAAGCATTTTGGTCTCAACAGCTGTCCTTAGTAGGAGAAACCTAAAATGGAGAAGTGAATGAGGGCTAAAATTGGATGGGGTGGCTGACCCAAAATAGAGTAAACTGCCTGTAAGGTGCATTCTGTGTGTGTGTTGTCTGCGTGTATGTGTTCACACATAGAGCTCACAGACATGATCACAGGACATGAACCGTGTCACAAGTGGGGCCAAAAATAAACCCTGAGTTGTTTCCAGAATGCCTGCAGGCTGAGCCTGTGCTCTCTGAACTTCTGGGAGGAAGGCACACCACAAGGGATGGGGGGGAACACAGCACGGAAAAACTGAAGAGCCTTTCCCAATATTGCTACTGAGGGCAGCTCTGCCTGGGAGAAAAGGGGGAGGAGAAAGTCTTGAATGAGCTGATGTGAAGCCTCCTATGGATTTTGCTTCAGGCAGGAAAACACATATGTGAGTGTTAGTCTGTGTGTGCACACATACACATGTGGAGACACGTGCGCACATATATATCAAGCAGGGCATTTTCGCCTGCTTCCTCTGCTGCCTGCCCAGCTTATTACTGCCACTGCATCTCATTCTAATTAAGAGAGACATATAAAATCAGAGCTCTCCTGGTCTGGGGAGAAGAGCTGCTTGGAGCTGGCACTCTAACCAGGTCATTACCGAACCAGGCCCCGGGCCTGCAATTTGGGTTGTCAGGTGGATTGACTGTGCAGGTTTCAGTGCATCCCTGGCTGGGGCAGTAGTTAGCAGAACACAGCGTTGCTCTGCTGCCGATTCCTGCTCTGCCACTGAAGGACTGAGAGAAAAATTAAGAGCTCAGTTTGATAAGAGCTTGAGCAGCTGCTGTCCAGAGTGCTATTAAACAATTCATAAGAGGGAAACCCTTAAAGACAAGTTCTTCCTTAAAGGTACACACGGACTTGTCACAAAGCAGGGGATATTTCTGGCTGTGGGGAGAAGGGGGTGCCTTTCCAGAACCTCAGACCATTTTTCTTCTGAGCCTTGTCACTTGGGCATGTTTGGGGAGACTGKATCCTCCTCTAACTGCTGTGGGCAAGAAACATTTGCAAGGGAATTATTCCACATGAGAGGAAGGCTGCAGGGAGTTGTCTCCCTCTCAGACATCAGTGCAGTCATGTTGTCCACTTGGAGGAATTCATGGTAAATCCTGAGCAAAGAGGCTGTCTGCAGAGAGAAAAGGGGAAAGCCCTCTTATGTAATGTTTATGCCACATTATAGCTTGACTTTCGCTTCTGGCAAAGGGAGTGCCACATGCTAGCAAGGTGCATGCAGAGCTTGGCTATCTTCCTGAGAGACTCCAGCCTCCTGGCCTTCCCCTGGATCCCTGCACACTGAGCCAGAAAGGGTTTTTGGAGCCCCTCAGAACCGCAGAAGGCTCCTCTGAGGCCTCTGAGCAAGGATGGGGCCAAGAGGACACCCCGACGGACGAGGATGTGGCCATGAGGACATCCTGACGGACGCGCGGGAAGCAGTGGGGCTGGCCCGCAGCGGGGATGGGCCCAGGGGCAGGCTCGCTCCTGTAGGAGSGTTTGTCTGGGTAGGACCTCAGCGACTCTTCAGCTCTTGCCTSTTGCTGATTCAAATGAAAGACCAAGCGTTTTCCCTCGCTTGCCACGTTCGGTCACAAGAAGCCGTTTAAAGTGCTTGACATCTGTCCCAGGCCTGGGTGGCTCAAGTAGTAACCCAAATGACCGCACTGGGATGCTCCTGCAAGCTGGGAACTGCTCTACAGTGCTACACCATGACACACTCTGCACTTCTCAGTGGGAAAGCGCTGATGTTAAAGAGTCCTGGAGTGTTTCTGCCCATGCTGCAGACTGTCTAACATGAAAATAGTCTGTAACACATGCCTTATTCCTGCTGTAGCTTCACTGAAATATTTGTTCACAGAAAGGCTTTTTGAGACTCAAGGCACCCTAACAACCAAGAAGAAATATTTGTTTCGGTGTGCTAGTTCGAATCCAGGTTGGATGGATCACAGGGGAAGTTGCTTCACCTATAAGAGGTGCAATTATATGAAATACTATTTTATTCACATTGCACATCAAGCGCTTGAAAGTTAGGAAGTGTTGGGATTCAGGGCACCGTGCCATCTGCCCTGGCTTGCAGTTCTGGCTACTATGATCACACACTGTTTTTTCCTAAGGCGGCCTCATTCAGGGCAGTGCATGCACGGCTCTCAGGGAGAGAAGCAGGGGGTTGTTATGATTTTGGTTGCTGCGTGCGTGCCTGGCTTGTTTGTTTATCGCCTGTCACCCAAGCCCTGCAGGCAATACATCCTTATTCATTGGCTTTGCGGTGCTCTGACGACGTTCGCTGCTCTAGTTGCTTCATAGATGATAAAGAACTTATTTCCTGATAAGGCAATGGAACGGTTATTTTCCTTGCTGTGGAAGGGGAAGGTGATTTCCTCCTTAGCCACACGTGAAGAAGCAGCAGGTGCAGGAGTGGAGCTTGGGACCTCTTGGCTCTTGGCGCCACTTATGCCTTGAGACTGCCCTGGCTTTCTGGCTAAGCTGACAGCATTTTGCAGAACCTCAGCTGTGAGTACTCAGCAGTTCTGCAAAACGGCCCCTCGGGTCTCATGTGGGGCACTCACAAAATTAGGAATGGGCAGGTTGGCCACCTGACAAAATTGTGGTTTAATAGTTCATGTTGACCATATAAAAATGGTCTCATTTATTGCAACATCCTCATTGTTATCTTATGTATCATGAGTCCTATGCATGGAGCATGGGACACGGTCCTGTGGAAAAAATAAACAGGACTTGGCCAACATGCAGAGGCTGTGTTGTAGTACATATATATAAGTGGGTGAACTAAGGTCATGCAGGTATTAACCAACACTTAAGTGCTTAGCTTTACAAATCAAATGGCATATTTTTCCTATAGATTTTTTTAATGAATATGACACTTTGAGACTTTTTTTATGAATGGAACACTTTCATCTACATATGGCAACTCCTCATACCCATCATGGGAAGGACAGAGATCTACATTTACATCAGGGCCACACAAGCCTCAAGTCCAYGAACACCCACACGCAAAGGCTTCTTACTGTGAAATCAGGCCCTGAGTTCATTCTGCTCCTCACTCACAGGAGGCTGCAGGACTTCCTGCCCCATGTAGTGTTCCCTCACTTGAGGAATAACATCGTAGGATCACATTGTGATTCTGAAGGAGTGCTGCTAGAAGAAACTTGGCTTAGCATTCACTGTTTGTGCTCTCTTTCTACTCCTGGCGAGGTCCTCTGATGCCAGCGCTCCTCAAAGCACAATGTGCTGTTGCCTCAATTTTGCTGCGAGGGGGCAGAGAGGCTGAAGGAGGCCCTTGCTCAACACACTYGCATTTAGTGATTTTGATGGGACATGAATGTTACCTGGCCTGTACTGTTTCCATGGCTGTGACCCCCCTGGAGAACTGAAGTCGCTGATCAAATGTGAACATGTTCCCCAGGCTCAGCAAGCTCTGCAGCACGGTGCGTGTGCTAGCTCACATSGATCTGAGGAGCCATGCTGGAGCTCTGGCCAGCAAGAGCTGTCACCACCTCTTGGTGAGGCGTGGGCAATGCTGCCAACTTCTAAAGCTTGTAGGCTGCATAACCCAGCCATCCTCAGGCACAGCTGGTGCTGCAGGCAGCAGCCTGGACTCTAGGCAGTTGGCATGGACTTTGATCGCAAGGAGGCYCCTCTTGGATGCCCTGGGAAGGCAGTGGGGAAAAGGGAGGAGGAGGAGAACTTCGGGATCTTTTCTAAACATGCAGCAGAGGWCTCCTTGTGCCACAGCGGCATCCACGTGAAACAGATCCATGCAACTCACTAAGGCAGAAAAAGAAATCAGCAGAAGGTCTTCAGAGTTCAGTATAAAGGCATCATGTGCGAACAATGAGAGTCAGCTTTTCCTTGGGAAGTTTGCCAGGAGCTGTGAGTGTACTGGGTCACTGATCCCCTTATGATAAGAGCAGAGGGGATTTTTACTGCTGGCGTCCTGCAYTCTGCCCCACCACTGCATATGCATGACTGATCCCTGCCCCTGTGAACATGCCAGGGGCACAAGCTTGTGAAGTRAGACGGCAGTGAAGTTCTGCCTCAATCCATAGCGTTTTCTAAATCCTCTTCCTGCTCTCCTCCACTGGCAAAGTGGAGATGGGCCTGACAGCTGATGGACTGGGAGCCGGCAGCGAGAGGAGTGCACTCAAGATGCTAAGAGAGGAAGAGTGAGAGTGAGAGTGACTCTCTCACTCAGCAGCTTAAGTGGCATCTCCATCACATAGGCTTCTCCACCATGCAGGAGCAAAAGTAACAGAAATTTACTTAGAAGCTCAGGGAGTTTGGGGTCCTGGCATCTTTCAGCATACAGACCACATTAAGAGGCCAAGCCAGTTCCTGAGCAGACATTAGCATGAATGATGGCAGATAAGCTTGCATGGGACAATTCATGTGCATGAGATCACCCAGAGTTACAGATCATCGYGCTCTAGGAACAAGGAAGCACAAGGAGAAAGCTTTATGTGTGAAGCATC